TATACATGGGAAATGTTAGGCTTCCTGGGGCACTTTTAACTCTTACCCATCTGGAAAATGAGCCATTATACGTTCAGGTATTACCTATGCCCCATTCTCTTTCAAAACTCGATGAGACCTTCTTGTTATATCTTGTATAGGTCTTAACTTCTCTTGCATATTTTCTATCTTTTAATATACTCACTTAATTCTGGATAGTTTTTTGATAGGATTTATGCCCAACAGGAGCAGGGTGATCTGTAGTTAATGTAAAGCATAGTACTGAGTAAGAGTCCATGAAGAATCAACAAGTTTATACTGTATAGCACAGGGAACCACGTTCAATATCCTGTAGTAGCTTAGGGATGAAAAAGAATGTGAAAATGAATATGTGTATGTTCCTATATGACTGAAGTACTGTGCTGTACACCAGAAACTGACACATTGTAAACTAACCATACTTCAATAAAAATGTATTTTAAAGAAAGAGTCAATAACGAATTCATTCTGCCAGAGATAAGGAGCTTTCAAAGGCTCCAATACCAGAAGCACTGATCATGGTGTCACATGCCCGATACTCGACGATACGAGCTTGTGTGACACTTGTGCTCAATGGCAGCAGCAACAGCACTTCCATTAAAACAGTCTGAGACTGTGACTCCTGGCATTGTCTTGGACTTAGCCTTCACAGCTGATTCTCAATATTTAATGTCTTTTCCACTTAGCCTCTTAAAGTTTGTTTACAACTAAAAATCCTGAACAATAAACCAGAAAAGATTCAAGATATGACAAATGAAATTTTAAAAATGACACCCCACAAAAACTGTGATCGAATCAAAGCCCAGAAAGGTTGGCCTTAAAAGGAGGACAGATTTGCCACTGCTGCTGCATTTCTGATTCTCTGATTTGCTCTGTTCTGCTTTGTCTGGAGAAGCATGGGAAGAAATCTAGTGAAGAGAGAGATTTCCATTTAATCTGCAAATAAGGAGAGAAATTAATCCCCAGAGTTAAAAAGCAGAAAATTGGGTAGGAAGGAAAATGGCGCAAGTCTGGAAAGCTGCTGTAAGAGACGAGAGAGAGCTAACAGCTACAACGGCCCCTCGTCTACCAGCCCCTCTCCATCTTCACCAAAAGATATTTTTAAAAAGAATTAAGTTGCTAGTTTTTAGGTCAGGACAGATTTGTTTAAATTGTGGACTAGAAGTCCGAGGGGCAATAAGAAGAATTACTGACAAGAATCTATTCGTACCTTTATTGCCCTCACTGGACCATGAGTTCCTTCCTCCAGGCCAGGGAATATGCCTCAATAATGAATAAAAGAAAAGAAACATTTATATGCCTACTATATGGAAATAAGAAAAGAGGGTAGAGAGGACAAAATTTAAAATACTTTGCAATTTTGACTACGATAAGAATTCTCTATGTCAAAATGAACAGAAATACTTGAATTCATTATGTGTTACCAACTGAGAAGCAAGATTATTTTTTTTTAATGCTGTGCAACAAAATTTGTTGGCCATACTATCTTTTCCTGTGATTCCTGGGATCCGAAATAGTTACAAGATTATCAAACGAGTAAATCTTCATTTTCATACTCAAGAAGTAGGAGGCACACAGTGTCACGGAAGCTAAGTCTCCTTATACTCCACGTTTCTTTCCATTTTCCAAACATATTAACAGGCTGGGGGAAAGGGAAGGATGGAAAGGGGCCTGGCCACTGGTGTTTTGTTTTTTTTTTTTAATTCTCAAATGATTCTAATGTACAACCACTTTAATATAGTTTATCAGTTGATTCTCTTGAGTTTCCTAGGCAGATGATTGCATTATTTACATAAAATCTCTTTGGGCAGTGTTTCATTACCAATGAATGCTCATTTTCTGAATTACTTTATTATAAACCTTTCCTGTGATTTTTGAGAAAAATTTACAGAATACATAAAAGCAAAAAAAAAACTAAAAATAATCATAATCCTCCCATCCACAAAGCAATTCTTATGCCACTTACTTAATTTTCCGTGTATTATTTTATTCATCAGAACTTCCAATGCATGTAAACAGTGGTGACCCAGTAACCTTGTTTATTTTAATGGGCATACTTCTAATGTTTCAAAATTAAATATAATTTCACTGTAGATTATTAGCTTTATTAAGCTGAGAAATTACCTTCTTAGTTTGCTAAAAATTGTTGTTTTCGAATTCATGGGTAAATGCACATTATTAAACACATTACTGGAATTTATTATAATTGCCTTTTGGATTCTCTTCGTTAATCTGTTAAAAATAGTAAATGCTATAGATGAGTTTTTTCTCAATGGTGACCCATTCTTGCATTCCCAGGAGAAACCCTACTAGGCCATTAGTTCTTTCAGTGTAACTGAGTACTATTTTACTCATAAACTCAATAGCTATATTCATAATGAAGATGGTTTTCTTATGCTGTCTTCATCAAATTCTGAAAACAGCATTATTTTGATTTAGCTAACATGAATTAATGATGCCTTACCTTTTCCTATGTTCTGAAATAATTTTCAACAAAAAATTTGGCAGTTTCTTAGAGGCTTATTATGTAGAACTTGCCCATAAAATCATTTACTGCTTTTTGGAAAAGGAGTAAATGTATCAGTATATTTATTGTATTTTCCACAGTTACTTTCCTACTTCTTTTGGGGGCGGAGGAATTTCCACTTCTAATTTTCAAATGTACTGGTAAAAGTGATACACAGAGTATTAATTTATAATTCTGAAAAATTTTTCCTATTCATAATTATTCCCAACATTGTTTATGTGTGCCTTTTCCTCCTACCCCAGTCACATATGCCAACAGTTTATTTCCCTTTCTTTTTTCAAAACAGATTTACCTTTTTAAGAGCAGTTTTAAACTCACAGCGAAACTAAGCAGAAAGCACAGTATTCCCACATACCTGCTGCCACCACACACACAAAGCTCCTCCACTAGCAACACTTCACACCCGAGTTCTATACTTGATACAATCAGTGAACATACAACGACCCATCATTATTATCCAAAGTCCATAGTTTACATTAGGGGTCACTTTTCTTGTGACCTTAAAAATCCTTCTTTGATCCACATATACATCCTTCTCTCCCTCTAACCCCTGGCAACCACTGATCTTTTAACTGTCTCCATAGTTTTGCCTTTTCCAGAATGTCATATAGTTGGAATCACATAGAATGTAACATTTTCAGATTGGTTTCTTTCGCTTAGTAATAAGCATTTAAGGTTCCTCCATGTCTTTTCATGGCTTGACAGCGCATTTCTTTTTAGTGATGAACAATATTCAATATTCCATTGCCTGAATGTGCAACAGTTTATTCATCTATTCACCTACCGAAGCACAAACTGATTGCTTCCTAAGTTTTATCAATTATGAATAAAGATGCTATAAATATCCACGTACAGGTTTTATGTAGGCATAAGTTTTCAACTCATTGGGGTAAATACCAAGAAGCATGACTGCTGCATTGTATGCTAAGAGTATGTTCCGTTTTTTTAAGAAATTGCAAAACTGGAAGCAAAGTGGCTGCACCATTTTGCATTCCCACCAACAATGAGAGTTCCTATTGCTCCACATCCTCATCAGTATTTGGTGGTGACACTGTTTTGGATTTTGACCATTCTAATAGGTGCGTAGTGGTCATTTTAACTCACAATTACATTTTAATTAGCAAAGCCCTGATGATATACGATGGTAAGTATCTCTTCATCTGCTTATTTTACATCTGTGTATCTTCTTTGCTGAGGTGTCTATCAAGATTTTTGTCCACTTCTAAACTGGGTCATTTCCTTACTGTTAAGTTCTAAGAACTCTTTGTATAATCTGGATAACAGGTATCTTTTGCAAATATTCTCTCCCTGTCTAGCTTGTCTTCTCATTCTCTTAATATTTCCCTTTTTAAAAGCTGTTTAGTATGTGTTTACAAACATAAGCTTTGGAGTCCAACAAACCTGAGTGAGTGCTAGCTCCTTGTGTTACAAAACTGAAACAAATGTATTAAGCTTTAAGTCTTAGTTTCATATCAATTAAGTGGGGATAATAATTGGCAGTTCCATAAAACTATCACTAGGATAAATTGAAATAATGTCTGGCACAAAGGGGTCAATAATTAAGAATTATTGTTGGGGTACAAGGTGTGAGAAAATATGGTAACATTCTTGGTATTACTTAACATCTGTTTTACAAAATGCTTTCAATTTTAAAATCAAATGGGAAATATTTTCCATTTATTTCTCAAATATTTGGGTTCTCAATTTGCAACAAAAACTAGTTGTGATTTTAAAATTAAAATTAGAATTCTTATTTTAGATTGATAGAATCAGGCTGACAGAATAAATAAAGGCTGTCACCCTACCACAAAGTGCTCCTAATTTCCAATCTAAGGAAGAAAAAAAAGATTAAGAATAGCACTATTATTGTCATTCTCCAGTCCTAGTAATTTCTTCCTTTTAGAACCAGAAACATTTCCATAGAGAAAATACCCAGTGGAATTTAATCCTGCACTGGAACGAGAGAACAAGTCCAAACAGCTGTTTTGGTGGGCAGGATACACTGAGAAACTTCTTTATTTTGTTTTTACTGAGTAAGTGTCATTATCACGCCCAAGACAGATTTAAAGATTTGTGTGCAAGGAAGTTTTAAGTAATTAAAGGAAGATCTTATTCATGTGTTCCGAGAATACATCAAGCACTTTTTAAAAAACAATCTATTCTCAGTTCTCAGTACTCAAGAGGATATGTTGTAGAAAATACTGAAGCAGAGCCCCCGCCCACCTCACCTCCAAAATAAAGTAAGAAAAACATTAAGCCAGAGTTCCCTTAACACTAAGTTTATTGCAAAACTTACAGATGAGGAGTGTATGAAGTCAACGCAGATGCTACCTGAACGAACACTGGTTTGTTCACATTCTGGTATAAAAATGAATTCCCTACTTGTGTCTCATAAATTCAATTCCACAGGCTTTCTGTTACTTCTAAGTAAAAAGCTGACAATATAGTTCCTTACCTTTCCATTAGCTTCTCTTTATCCCAATTGAAGTGGCTAAGGAGTATTCTTGTGATAGTTGCTGGATTCTAAAGAGGGGGGGAAAAAAAGTCATTTTAAGGTAATAGCACTTCATTGGCATTCAGTGAATTTTTAGGTTGAATCTGAATTTCTGTAATACCCCACCCAAATTTCCTTTCCTAAGATAATACTCTAAAATTTTAATTTTAAGATCAAGACTATTTTAACAGTTTGTCAGGTTTTATGGGATGATTCTAAAGCAGAATTTAAAATAAGCCAAAAAGAAATTAAATAAAAAACTACTGTATTAAATCAAGCACCAATTAAAATGAAGTTTTTTTCAATTAAGATTTAACAAACTGTTACATCAAACTACAAATCAATAAAATTTCTAACACCTTATGTATTGAGTAGTTCAAATGAGTCCAAATCATTTTTAAGCTTGAAGGTCCTTCAGAGATACTTAGGAAAACCACAAAATACCTGTACTGTATAATAATTTAGAGAATATAATCTTAAGTTGATATTTCATTTCTAGAAGGAAAGGGTGAGACCATGAAGTAAACCCAAATTTTATTGCCCTATTATTCAATGCTATCACAAATATTTCTACATCCCATGAAACTAGTGAGCAGAATTTTAACTTCAAATGCAATGAATGGGGCCTAACAGATGGGAGAAGTCTGACTCATTCCAACACCTAGTTACAACGTCTGAAGTGAAATTCAAACCTGACTCTGCTTATTTGCTTTTCATGTATGATTGTATTACATCAAATAACATTTCAAAAAAAAGTCTCTGTATATGAAACTACTTTTATTTCACCCTAGTTAGACCACAGTATTAACTACTAATTTAAAAAGTGATCCTGAAAGAAAAAAAGTAATCCTATATAAAAAGTCATTGAAGAAATCTATTATCCTAAACTTAATACCACTTGTCACAGAAAAATTCACATATTCATATCCCTCAAAAAAAAAAGCCAAAGATGCAGACATGATTAACTCGCAAGCCTCCACTCCATGCACACTTTGCTAGTCCATGTAGGTATTCCTCACTTCTTGGACCCAGACTCCTCCTCTAACACAGCACTCCAGGAAGATACCACCAACCTACAAGAGTTAACATGTGAAAAGAAATCTATTAGCTGTCCCTAAGTTACAATATGTTTATTTGTACAGAATGTAAAGACACTGCCTTGTGTCCAGCTATGTCTCAGAAAAATGATACAACAGGTTTTCACAATAGGATTTGCCTACAACTGAAATAGCTATCATTTAGTCACAGGTAAAATTAAGGGCAATAATCTTACCAGCTGGGAAAATTAAGTCTAGCTATATTCACTGTGATTCACTATAACATTGCAGTACCCAATGCACTATATACTCTGCCACAAGACAGTGCACTGTGGTAAAATGTTTCAGGAATTAACAGTCAGCCTGCGAAGAGAAAAAAGGGAGAGGAAGGGAAACGCCCTCTCTATGATTTAGTGTTGCTAAGTGTTTTTTCCGTGTTCGAGTTCCTAGATCAAAAACTGGTCTCATCCAGAGGTTCCCAAATCTGTTACTGGATCTTCAAAAATTACAAATGTTCTGTTAAAAAATAAATTCATAGATTCCACCTCCAAGTGTGCTCATCACCAAAAGGATTCAGAACATAACACTACTGGTCCCCCAGGATGAAGAAAACAAGACAATTAGTTTTTTAGCTGATTGTTTAAAATTTTCTGTGTAGGTGTAATGTGTTCATTTAATAAAATGCATATTGTATTGGAGGTACAAGCTCAGAAGTGTTTCCCAATAGGATATTACTAAAGAATTTGTCTAAGTCACATAATAATGTCAAAATACCTATGTTCCGCCAAAGCCTTACACTATGGGGTTGGGTATAGTTCACAACACTAACTAAATATATTTCGGTTGCTATCTCAGTGCAGCTGGTTCGAGTCATTTACCTGCACTGCATAAGTAAAGGTGACGGGGGAATGAAATTTATTGTACATCTACTCTATGCTGGGCCCTGCACAATGTACTTTATATACCTCATTTAACTCACAAAACACTCTGTAAGGTAAATATACTTACCTCCCATTTTAAATCTGAGAAAACTATGACTAGGCTCCAAAACACTACAAAAGCTACCCAGTACCATGCAGCTAATTAAGTGGGATAGTTGTGAATTCTAGCCTAGGACAATCTGGATCTAACATTCCTTTGATTATTCCACGTAGGGGAATCCAGAGGAATTTAAAGATCTCACTTAACTACTAATCGTATGTCTAAGTATCCTTTATATCCTCCACCAAAGGGTAATTCAGGGCAGGATGAGGAGGGGATGGCAAAAAGCTAAGAGGCACAAGGGAGCCTTCTGTGGGACTGAAAATGTTCTACTTCTTGAATGTGATAGCTGGTTATGTGAGGGAAAACATTTATCAAAACTCAAACTATACACTTAAAAATGGGTACCTTGTTCATATAAAAGTTATACATCAATAATGTTTTATTTATTTAAAAACAGAACAATCTGACTTCTGGTTCTGGCCAAGATGGAGTAACAAGCTCACTGTAGCATCTCTCTCCCCATGAATTACAACTAAAAACTGGACAAAATACAAAATACAACTAAAAGAGTACTCTGAAAACTAAGTAACAGCAGTCAGATTGGGGAGGGAAGTGAAGGAAAACAAGTAAGGTGGTGGAGAATATCCTGTTTGTTTTTTCTCCTTTATTTCTTGGCTTTGACCCAAGGGTGGGCCAAACAGGGATACTGTTCAGCAGACACGATCAACAAAAACCAAGGTAAGTGCAACTTCTTGGCCAGAGGCTCCTGGAGAAGGTGGGGGAAGAGTACCTTTCTTTTGCCTCCTTTTTCCTCCTAGCCCTGCCCTGAGGCCAGCCCAGGGCCATGAAACTGCATTGATACAGAGGGACCACAGAAACCCAAGAGAAAGCTCACCGCTCTGAACAGAGGAATTAGGAAGAGGGACTCTGGTAAAAAGGACCAGTGTAGAGGAAATCCATTACCTTCTTTTTTTCCTCTTGCCACTTCACCTCAAGACATGACAGGCAGAAAACTAAAACTGGGAGAACTCCATGCTTCTGGCTAAAGGAATGAAGAAAAGGGCCCCTAAGAGACAAGAGAGTTATGGAGGAAGTGACTGAAAAGAGAGAGATGGAGAAGTAGATTCCTAATGCTGTGTATGAACCGAGTTCTGGGCTCACAGGCAAGCTCTGCATGTGTGGAACACAGCCAAAGAAGAACAGGAGAGGCTTCCAGAACAGAACTAAGATATAAACCACGTCCAAAGCCTAGATCAGTCTAAGTGGGAATGGGAAGGGTAACATCAACATAGCAAAGGCTCTGAAAACTGAGAAGATAAAAGACCCTTACCATTGTCTAAAACATCTCAGCAGGACAAAATCTCACACAACATAATATTCCAAACATCCAGGACAGAATCCAAAAGCACCAGACATAGCAAGAATAACAATGATCTGATCAGTTATCAAGGGAGAAGACAATTATTTGATTCTGACCTCAAGATGACCCAGATACTAGAATTATCAGACAAAGACTTTTAAAGCAACTGTTAAAACAATGACTCATTTAGTTAACGGTGAATACCTTAAAACGAATGAAAAGAAATTCTTAGGAAAGAAGCTCAAATTATTTTTTTTAAAAAAAGGAAAATAAAAAACCCTAAGAACAATGGATGGGCTGAACAGAAGGAAGATGACAGATAACTCAGTGAACTTACAGATATGTCAACAGAAAAGTATCTAATCTTTTTTTTACATTTTTTATTGATTCATAATCATTTTACAGTGTTGTGTCAAATTCCAGTGTTCAGCACGATTTTTCAATCATTCATGGACATATACACACTCATTGTCACATTTTTTTCTCTGTGATTTATCAT